AAAGGGATGGCAACTACAAGAACAGGGACAGTCCATATCAGTACTATTACCACGACTTTTGATCTAGTAATGGAACTATCATACGTCAAAGGTGATTTTACAATGGCACTATACCGTTCATATGACACAGCTATGAGATGAAGAACCGTATTCAAGTAGAAATATCTTAAAACAAGGTAATGCAGTTTACACATCGTTTCGCCATACAACCATCGTTCGTGGGCAGTGCTTGCGATGCTCGGCGAGTTACCCAGGATCAAAAAGAGAATATCTGACCCTGCTAAGCTGGCAAGTAGAACATACCGCATCACATGAAATCTACTCTCCATACAAATCGTTGCTATGACCAGTAAATTTCCAGGAAGGCCGACAAGGTCGATGACAACATGAACACCGGTAAGAGCTTGCGAGAAAACCATGATTGCTAATTGCTACAACGTGATGATGTTGTTAATAAACTCCCAACATATTCCTTGTAAATTAATTTTGACGAACAGATGGTGTTTTCGTCTTCAAGTGGTTAAGACAGAGTTTCTCCTTACGATATCAATACGATATAAAGCAGACAAGTGATAAGACTAAAAAATATGTAAATTAGGAGAGTATTGGTTGATCCAATGCAAAATTTTCCGAACTAACATCAGAAGAGTTGTGATAAAAGATGTTAAACAGTGGATGACACGAGCACACTCGGAGAAGAAGAACTACGAGTGTTCCCGATAGGAGTCGAGCGTACATCCATCCGATTCTCTACCTCAGTCGACCACTGAGCTAGGTTGTTTAACTGCTTCTATGACGACTGCTAGTTCTTGGAGTTCTTCTTCTCTGAGTATGCCCATGTCATTCACTGAATAACATCTTCTCTCATGTAAACACCACGCTTAAAACTCTTTATCTTCATTTAAATCATGAAAACAGTTGTACAACACACAGAAAGGAGAATTACTTACGAGATATTTGAAGCGAAACTTTTAAAGAAAAGCATAACAAAACAAAAAGGAAAACACTGACAGGAAACAGGCTACGAAACAGCCAATGAATTTTCTACAGATTGTAATGTACTAGATTTGGACTTCCGTAAGCATTGTAGTCATAGTCGGCGCAGCTTGAATTCAAACATAAAATGAATAATTTCGGAGCATTTTTGTTTTTAAGTCCGCAGAGAGTGTGTAGTTTTTGTTTTGTTTTTTTTAGAATAGAAAATAAATTTGACTTTCGCAGCCGAAATGAAAAGTTCACGTAAAGCCATTTGAAATGAGGAGAAATTTTGTTATCGGCAGACTCATATCTCTCGCCTTGTCAAAATAGCTATTGAACCTAACACCAAATTAACAGCTGTATTTAATAGAGGATCATAATGGAGTTAAGGCTTTTATGGCGAACGGTTCATTTCTTTCTGCTACGGTTAACAGATATAGATCAAGAATTAATTTTAATCATTTTGAAAAATTAATAAACAATTTTCATCGTTCTAAAACACCTGTATTCGCTCGCTTTTACCTTTGGAGTCAGGCAACAGAGTAATTTTGTGTTTTCGTGCAATGGCCACAAGACGAGACACATAAAAGTCTAAGATTTTGACACCTTCAAAATTACACATCGTAAATGGGAGAAATTTTTACGGATAACCTCTTTTACAACAACGGTTAAAATTTGTCAATTTCTACGCCAAAGGCTTAAATCTTTGGGTCGTTTTACGGCTAACTTTTAACTTCACTGAGACCTCGCTTCGTTTCTTTTGATTACATAAATTAAGGCATGGGAATATGATATAAACTGGGCTAGATTTTTGAGTTAGGTCTGTTATATGTTTTTGGTTTCTCTCTTCTAAAACAGAGAATCCGGCAAAACGTTTTAAGGATCAATTTTCCGTAAGTAGAAAAAAAGCTATCCCTTGTTGGCAGTGACGTAAATTAAGGATTTCCCTTCGGCCATTGAAATAGGGTGGCAAAATGTTTAAGCCCAAAACTAACACGTGGCACGTGAATTTTTCTAAAATTCACACCTGAGGCCTTGAACGTTCCGGTGACTTAACGGGCCCGAAAAGTTGTTCTGTTTTCCTTCAAGAAAGGAGTTTCAAAAGTTTTGAAAATTCTACAATAAGACTAAAACTAACTCGGTCACAGTTTTTCACCATACGGACCTCCCAGCCGGCAAATAACATATATTTATAAGTATGCGGAAAGAGAAAGAGAAAGAGAAAGAATGAAGTTTCTCTTGATCTGAGACGAAAATTTGTACGTTTACTAGACAGTTTGGGCAATACTTCAGTTAAATAACGTGGAGCAAGATTCTTGACTATTTTGTAAAAATTGGCCTAATTTATGTAATTCTCTCCTGGTACTAAGAGGCTGCCAAGAAAGTTCATCATGTAACCTCGCAGAGCTGGTTCCTGTTACCACCCTTGCGGCTTCGTATCGAACATTATCCAGTAAAGCTGAATCACGATTAAGACGGTCGTTCCAGATAACATCCCCATATTCCATGAGAGGTCTAATCAGGCTTTAGTACAAGCATGTTGAAGTGGATCTATCAACTTTGTATTTAACAAATTTCAGTATATTTAATCGTTTAGAGGCTTTCTTTTACATCTTAGCTATATGATTTCTCCACCACATATTACTTTGCAAAGTTAGGCCTAAGTGAGTGTGAGACTCAACGTCTTACGCTTGCGAGAAAATACAACATTGCGAGAATTAACAGGATTCATAGTTACCAACCATTTGTCAGCCCACTCGGAGATCTCATTTAGATCAGAATTAAGGCGACCAGCTGATACGGCTGGCTCGTCAACAGTTTCAAATAGTGTAGTATCATTGGCATAAATCAAAGGAAGAGAGGCGAGATCATCAGTAATATCATTGATATAAATAAGAAATGGAAGCGGTCCTATCCCAGACCCTTGAGGGACTCCGGAGTTCACTGTTCGCAAATCAGAGGATTGCCCTTCTATACTGAACTACCCGTTGCTTTCGGTTAAGCAAATAACTTTCAAACAATTGAAGTAAGAGCGGTTTTACCCCTAAAGCTTCCAACTTACACAACAAAACAGCATGCTACACATCATCAAATTCTTTGCTTATAGATATTTTAGAAACAAAAATTGAAAGATGCAAGAAATGAGGAAATTACCTCCAGACATATAGCAGATTACCAAATTATAACTCCCAATTTTGTGAGTAATTCTGTACATTAAAAATGAATTGTCCGTTTCATTTTGTTGTAATATTATCGAATGGGCGTCGGTATTTATAGGTTATCATTTAACCGCATTCTAGTATCATACCCATTTAATTCCCAAAAACGTTGTCAGGCATACTGTCTGATCCAGCGTCCCGTAGTCCACTGTCCGCACCACTGCTGGTAAATTAATCATGTGACCAAATTAATCTAGAAATCCACACCCACCAAATGCGATATTTTATCTCACAATCAACGCGGAAGGGTCATCTGTCACTGAGCTGACTTCCTAGCAAGGGAGTGTTTACGTTAATCATGGGTTGAGTTCCATATTTGTTCAGCTCGTAATCATGTCTTCGAGTGATTAGTTCACCGGTAAAGTTGTGGTAATTCCTTTCAGAGACGTTTAGCAGTGGAAACCAGTGGCAATAATCAGCAACAGTTTACAGGTGCTTCAGCACTCAAAGGTATGCGACTAAGGAATTACTATTTCTGTACGTTTCAGGACCTGTTCGATGCCACTTTCAGATATTAAGATTCATATCGTCAAATGTGTACATGTAGGTTGTCTTTAAGCTATTTATCGTGAGAAAACATGCAAATTTGAAGTCTCTGATTCCCAGCGTTTGTGACGCCTTACAAACGTGCTGAGTTTGCAAGGTTTTTGTCGGCTGGAAACTCGCGTAAAGCTCTTCTTTGTCAACTCAAGGTTACCTCTTCCGAAGAAGTCCAGTCAATTAGAGATGTATGTAATTTTGTCAACTTTCTCGATTAAATGTACGTTAGAAAAGTGTGACTTGATGTGCGTGTTTTCCCTGGATTTGTATTGTCTGTATCTCGTTGCATTGCATGTATTCACAACTGTGAGGTGTTATAGGCGAAATGGTGTTGTATGTGGAATTAATTTAAGGATTGTGGAATTTCGTTCAGTTGAAATGCTTAGTAATTCACGCATGAGAGATGTGTTTCAAATGCAAATTTGAATCTCGTTTTTTAACATACCATGGAGACATTTGTGGATGACAACTCGTTCATTTAAAATATGGATTTATTTTCCATAATCAGCAACTCACTCCTGAAGTAGAAGGTAGAGTAATTAAACTTCTGGGTTGTGTCACAAACTTTGATTGTCAGCTCACATATCTTAGGATATTTTCAAACCAAAATGTCTCGAATTAAACATCTTATTAAAAATTGTGATCAGATTCCTTCACGGGAATGAAGACTCAACCTTGTTTCTAGGGTCCTTTATCTCTTCCTGCGGCCATGGAATTGGTGGAATTTAATGAAATTAAGGGAGGTGTGTTCGAAAATCCATTATGGAGAAAAAACGTCTCTAAATCTTCATAAAGCGTACTTTTACCTTGCGGTTGCTCTTTCGATGAAGATTTAAAAGTTCAGCAAGCTATATTCATTTTCTGCTTTGACTGCTACTTTATTTATCCGTTTCTTTGCTTTTTTGATTAACCCTTACCAACCTGAACTTAACGATATAATATATTATAATTCTACACGATATAATTTTCTTAGTGCTTGCCGTAACGCTACATTCGGAATCAGTTCATCCTGGCCTTCGTACAGGAATCAAGTAAATGTAGTCAGCGTATCATAGAAACTTTAGAAACGAATTGTCGTCTTTCAAAAGACAGAACTTTCGCGAACTTTACCGTTCTCTCCGCGTGTCATGACGTCAAGCTAAACAATTTCCCGTTTGGCCTTCCCACTCGGCTAAAAAGTACAAATTTCAATTCTCTTTCTAACTCTAAGAGAGGCTTCTTTAAAATCATGAAAGCGAGAAAGCGTGGGTTGTAGTGTTCAATTCATTCAACGATTTCTTCCGTTGGAGGATGGCATCTCTGGAGATTCATTTCAATTCCTCTGGGAACATTTAAAGTCCGAGAGTCAAGAGAGTTCTTGTTTTGAGCAACTTGTGCAGCTTTTGATTCCGCAATACAAGGGATTCTTGTGGGGGTTAGCCGTAAATCGTGCACACCAATTATGTTGTCTGTACCAGAAGCAAATGAAATGGCACACAGTCCGCCAATTCGCCTAAGTGTTCTTTTAACTGCACCACGAAATTCCCTCTTGCGAACTGAATAAATGATCGGATTGGTGACAGAGCTAATGTAGTAAATACATCGAGTGGTTTGCGTAACTTCGGGTGGAAATTCTACCTCAAAATAATTACGAAGAACGAAATCAGTCCACTCAGGAAGATAGCAAATCACAAACGCTGCTATTATGATGCAGACATCGACAGCTGCCTTCCGATCTTTGATTCTTCTCGCGTCGTGTTGTTGATGCTGGCTTGGACCATTATTAGAGTTTGCGGCTGTGCTTTCCAAAAATATGACAGGTTGATCGTTAGACTGGATGGCGTTAACTGTTTTTAAAACTCTCCAGTTCAGGAAAAAGATGATTAAAATAGGCACAGCGATCACGATAAATGCCGCAGCGGGAGCATGAAAAGCGGGGGCATCTGTAGTTCCCATGCAAAAGAGCAGTTTTGGATGATAAAAGACGGATTCTGATCGTCTGAAAAAAGTGATGGCGCATACAAGAAAAGGGACAGTCCATATCAGTACCATTACCACGACTTTTGATCTAGTAATGGAACTGTTATACGTCAAAGGTGATTTTACAATGGCGCTATACCGTTCATATGACACAGCTATGAGATGAAGAACCGTGTTCAAGTAGAAATATCTTAAAACAAGGTAATGCAGTTTACAAATTGTTTCGCCATACAACCATCGTTCGTGGGCAGTGCTTGCGATGCTCGGCGAGTTGCCCAGGATCAAAAAGAGAATATCTGATCCTGCTAGGCTGGCAAGTAGAATATACCGCATGACATGAAATCTGCTCTCCATAAAAATCGTGGCTATGACCAGTAAATTTCCAGGAAAGCCGACAACGTCGATGACAGCATGGACAGCGGCAAGGACTTGCGAGAAAACCATGATTGCTAATTGTTACAACGTGATGATGCTGACAATAAATTCGCAGCATATTCCATGTAAATCAATTTTGATGAACAGATGGTGTTTTCGTCTTCAAGTGGCCAAGAAAGAATTTCTCCTTTTTATATCTATAAGATATCAAGCGGACGAGTGATAAGAATGAAAAAGATGAAAATAAGGAGAGCATTAGTTGATCCAATGCAAATTCTCCGAACTTACATCTGGAGAGTTGTAATAAAAGATGTTAATCAGTGGATGACACAGACAAACTCGGAGAAGAAGAACTCCGAGTGTTCCCGATATCAACATCACTGAGCCGTTGTTTAACTACGTCTATAATAACTCCTAGTTCTTGGAGTTCTTCTTCTCCGAGTATGCCTGGGTCATTTATTGAATAATATCTTCTGTCATGTAAACACTACGCTTCAAACTCACCATCTTCATTTAAATCATCGTAAGAACAGTTGTATGGCGTTCAGAAAGGAGAATTGCTAATGAATCTTGGAAGCGAAAAGGTTAAAGAAAAAACAACAAAACAGAAAAAAAAGGAAAACGCTAACAGGAAACATTCTAAGAAACAGCCAATGAATTTTCTGCTGATTTTAATGTACCAGGTTTGGACTTCCGTAGGTATTGTAGTCATATATTAATTACAGAGAAATTTTAAAGTATTTTTGGAAGCAAATTTCAATTGAGTGAAGTCGGCGCAATTTGAATTCAAACAGAAACTGAAGAGTTCCCGAGCATTTTTGCTTTGAAATCTGGAAAGAGTGTGTGGTTTTTGGTTTTTTTTTCTGTTGTAGTCATAGAAAATAAATTTCATTTTGGCAGCCGAAATGAAAAGTTGACGTTTAGTTATTTGAAATAAGGAAGAAAATAGGTTATCTGCACGCTTGCAGAATCGTTTCTTTCGCTTTGTCAAAATCGCTATTGAACCCAACACCAAATTAACACTTGTATTGAACAGAGGGTCATAATGGAGTTAAGGCTTTTACGGCTAACAGTTCATTTCTTTTCTGCTACGGTTAAGAGAAATCGGTATTCACAATTACAGTTAACAGAGATATTAAGAATTAATTTCAATCATTTTGAAAAGTTAATAATTAATTTTCATCGTTCTAAAACATCTTTACTCGCTCGCTTTTACCTTTCGAGTCAAGCAACAGAGTAATTTTGTGTTTTTGTGCAATGGCCGCAAGACGAGACACATGAAGTCTAAGATTTTGACACATTCAAAATTACACATCGAAAATGGGAGAAATCTTTACGGATAACCTTTTTTAGAACAACGCTTAAAATTTGTCTATTTCTATGCCAAACGATTAAATCGTTGGGTCATTTTACGGCTAACTTTAACTTCATTGAGACCTTGCTTCTCTCTTTTGATTACATGAATTAAGGCTAGAGAATATGAAATAAACTTGGCAATATCTTAGAGTTAGGTCTGTTGTATGTTTTTAGTTTCTCTTTCCTAAAACAGAAAATCCGGCAAAACGTTCGAAAGATCAATCTTAGTAAGGAGAGAAAAAGTTATCCCTTGTTGGCAGTGACGTAAATTAAGGATTTCCCTTCGGCCACTGAAATAGGGTGGCAAAATGTTTAAAAAAAAAAGTGACGCGTGATTAAGCCCAAAACTAACACGTGACGCGTGAATTTTTCTAAAATTCACACCTGAGGCCTTGAAGAATCCGGGGCCTGAACGGGTCCGAAAAGTTGCTCTGTTTTCCTTTAAGAAAGGAGTTTAAAAGTTTTGAAAATTCTACAGTAAAACTATCATCTAAAGAAAAAAATGGACTAGCTAGGGCGCCAGAATCTACATCTCTAATCTTTAAATTTAGCTTCAAAGTATGGCCTCGGACTCGTTAAGTATCCGGGACTTAAGCAAACGGGCCCCTGATTTAACGGGAGATACAGTCAAATTTGAATTTCTTGCTTCTCGTGTTCAGGCAAACAAGCCTTTGGTTTTCTGGGCAAACAAGAAAAAGGGCCTCAAATACGAAGATTCTCTTTTCCCCCCCGCTACACACACATAAACGCACACACACACATGCGTTGTTTTTTTTTTGCTCGAAAACGAAGGCTTCTCGGAATTTATTTTAGAGTATTGTTTCTAAAAGCCCAGATTTTGTGTGTGAAGAAGTGATTGTTGAACAGAAAGGAGTAATTCTACCTTAAGTCCTTAAGCAGTTGTCGCCAACTATGGGTCTTCGATTGGTGTTCAAGCGACTGCTGGATAACGGAGCACACTAACTCCCAACATAAGTGAGAATAACTTCGAAATTAGACATTGCATTAGGAAAATACAATGGAGACGTCCGGGTAAACTCGTGAATAAAAAGTCGTTCAGCGCACTTTCCATGGATTAATCTCCATACCTCGGCCAACACCCTGATCTTCCCTATCTGTTCATTATATTCTCTTGCCAATACGCAACTCTCTCCTTCACTTTAGGAGTTTGGTAGTTTCATTTCGAGAGGGAAAAGTTCCAGACTTACCGGCTTAAAACTTTGACGCTGAACATTTGCCCTTGGTCTGAGTTCGGTCTTTCTCGTACCGTGTGACAAACAGAAAAACCGTTTACACTCCCAATGGGAACGAAAAACAGTTCGAGTTTGCGGGGGTCTAAGTTATCAGGGTTGGTGCTGAATTTCAATTTTCCGTCAATGATTAACAAGGAATCGTGTTTTTACCATTCTTGCAACATTAAAACTCATTTTGATACATTTAGCTTGTTTTCTAGGTGTTACTTGATAGGAAAATTTAGTTTGGGAAGTTCAGCTATATGCATTACATTTTAATAAATGTTATCAGCTTTGAATCAATCAGTTATGTCAACTGAAAAGAAACGACTAAATAAATGAGGTCAGATCCAGAGCAAATCGCATTTTGTTCGAGTCAGCGGGTAGTTCGAGTTAAGTGACTTTGAGTTAGAGGGTCTCTGCTGTGCACATTAAAACATTTCTTTATTCTGATTGGCTGACACGAATGCAGTTTTAACGAAATGCATTTTTAGAGGAGAGGTAATGCAATGCAGACATACTTGATTCATTGTTAAACAGGTAACAAACTGTTAGGCAGGGCTTTGAATCTTTTCACGGTTTTGAAAAAAGTTGCAAAAGAGCAACATTTCTCACTGAGCTCCCAATTACAGAATTTGAATGAATTATTTTTAGCGCGATTACCGCGCTTTGCCTAATTATGAATTTTGCATAATTATGAAAAACGCCTGTTTCATTTTTCTCACTTACATTTTTGATTAACTCATGAAATGAATTTTCTAGTGTAACTTGGAATGAAAAAGCGCTCGTTAATTTTTTCAAAGATTACAAATTGCGATTTTGGTAGTCGTTGAAAAAAATGGTCGTGCTTTATTATTCCAAATTGCATTCAAAATCATCAGATCAGCTGGACTAAACTAATGAAAATCTGTTGATTTAAACTAAGTAGAAGGAAGAAAGACGAGAAGAAAGAAGAGTGCAATAGCCGCTTCTCTTTCTCTTTTCTTTCTTCTTGTCTTTTTTGATTCAATCTCCGACATGGACAAATCTCTGTATTTGAGGTCCTTTTTCTTGTTTGCTCAGAAAACCAAAGGCTACCGAGGATGAATGAACAATTGTCCCAGTTTTTAAACTTTCGTTTCCTCAGAAGACGGGAAGAAAGGAGGTCAAATATCTCCTTTTAAATCAGGGGCCCGTTTTTCCAACGTCCCGGTTACTTAACGAGCCCGAAGCTATATTTTAAAGCTAAAATTTAAAGATTAGAGATGTAGATTCTGGCACCCTAACCAGTCCATTTTGTTTCTCTAGTTGATAGTTTTATTGTAGAATTTTCAAAACTTTTGAAACTCTTTTCTGGAGGAAAACAGAACAACTTTTCGGGCCCGTTAAGTCACCGCAATGTTCAAAGCCTAAGGTGTGAATTTTAGAAAAATTCACGTGCCACGTGTTAGTTTTGGGCTTAAACATTTTGCCACCCTATTTCAATGGCCGAAGGGAAATCCTTAATTTACGTCACTGCCAACAAGGGCTAACTTTTTTTCTACTTACGGAAGATTGATCCTTAAAACGTTTTGCCGGATTCTCTGTTTTAGAAAAGAGAAACCAAAACAGACCTAACTCAAAAATCCAGCTCAGTTTATATCATATTCCCCTGCCTTAATTTATGTAATCAAAAGAAACGAAGCGAGGTCTCAGTGAAGTTAAAAGTTAGCCGTAAAACGACCCAAAGATTTAAGTGTTTGGCGTAGAAATTGACAAATTTTAACCGTTGTTAAAAAAGGTTATCCTCGCCGTAAAAATTTCTCCCATTTACGATGTGTAATTTTGAAGGTGTCAAAATCTTAGACTTTAATGTGTCTCGTCTTGTGGCCATTGCACGAAAACACAAAATTACTCTGTTGCCTGACTCCAAAGGTAAAAGCGAGCGAATACAGGTGTTTTAGAACGATGAAAACTGTTTATTAACTTTTCAAATGATTAAAATTAATTCTTGATATATCTCTGTTGACCGTAGCAGAATGAAATGAACCGTCCGCCGTAAAAGCCTTAACTCCATTATGATCCTCTATTAAATGCAGCTGTTAATTTGGTATTAGGTTCAATAGCTATTTTGACAAGGCGAAAGATACGAGTCTGCCGATAACAAAATTTCTCCTCATTTCAAACGGCTTTGTGTCAACTTTTCATTTCGGCTGCGAAAGTCAAATTTATGTTCTATTACTAAAAAAAACAAAACAAAAAAAAAACTACACACTCTCTCCGGACTTCAAAACAAAAATGCTCCGAAATTATTCATTTTATGTTTGAATTCAAGCTGCGCCGACTTTGCATTTCTCTGTGATTAATTTATGACCACAATACCTACGGAAGTCCAAATCTAGTACATTACAATCTGTAGAAAATTCATAGGCTGTTTCGTAGCCTGTTTCCTGTCAGTGTTTTCCTTTTTGTTTTGTTATGCTTTTATTTAAAAGTTTCGCTTCCAATATCTCGTTAGTAATT